TGTGATTGGTTAGCTGGGCCAGTGTGTGTTGTGATTGGCAGCACTCGGCGCCTGGTCAGGAAATGTCATGCCTCTTACCATAGCCGCCTGCGAGCTTCGGTGTAAATATTGGTCAAAATCAAATCAATTTGAGCATGATTTAAACCCGGATGATTGTAACCACTCTAAGTTCGTCTGCCTTGGGAAACGCCACCTGCAGGCTGTTTGACCTGCGCGCGGATCAGGAGCTCATGATGTATTCTCACGACAACATCATCTGCGGCATCACCTCCGTGGCCTTCTCCAAGAGTGGACGCCTCCTGCTGGCCGGATACGACGACTTCAATTGCAATGTTTGGGACACTTTAAAAGGCGAACGTGCAGGTAAGAGCAAAACATTTTTTCACTACCCTTAAAAATGTAAGTGTGAAAATGCTGTAAATGTAAATGTGACCCTGGAGCACAAAAGCAGTCTTAAGTCGCTGGGGTATATTTGTAGCAATAGCTCCTAACAAACCATACATCAATGGAAAGATTATTTATTCAGCTTTCAGATGATATATATAAATCTCAATTTCGTAAAATTGACCCTTATGACTGGTTTTGTGGTCCAGGGTCACAAAAGTGTTTTACACGTATAAAAATGTGTTTTATAGTGGGAGGGTTTCTGCATATTTTATTTATAATTTACTTTTATTATTAACTTTTGTTGTTTGCTTTATTGTACTTTTATTTTATTTTTATTATTGTTATTATATTTTATTTTAGACTTTTGCTTTTATTTTATTTATAATTTGATTTATCTTATTACTTTTATGATTTTAAAATTTTATTTTTATTAATTTATTTTTATGTTTATTTATATTTTTATATTTGATATTTTTTGTTTTATTTATTTATTTTTTTAGTTTATTTATTTGATTAATTTTAGGGATGCACGATATTATTGGAACGTTATCGCAATCGGCCGATAAAGGCTTAAAATGTAAACATCAGCATCGGCTGCATATGAAAAATTTTGCCGATATGCCTTGCCGATAAGACACATAGCCCACATGAGCTCAGGGTGTGCTAGCAATAAGATCACGTCAGCAGTGTGTTCATTTCTGAAGCAAACTTTTGCCTGATGATTAGATGATGATGATTCAATTCACTGCTTTGGATCGCCTCGTTTAATTTGAGAAGGTACGTAGTAGCGCGTGCAGCAACAGCCTCCCCCGGGTCCTAATGCCTGCACGTAAGGCCTTTTATTTATTTAGGCCTTTTTATTTATTTGTTTATTTATGTAATAAAATGAAAGTAAAATGCATAACATTAAGATACTTCTGTTTCTGAATAAATAAAGCATTACCGATGTCATAAAATCACACGTCTGTTTTGATTTAAAGGTCAGAAGCTATAGCTTACAATAAAAATCACAAACATGACACTTGTAAATTAAATTTAATATATACAGATTTATTCATATGTATTTTTTTCAAATGGATTTCCTTAAATACAAGGAGCTCTAAAAGATTTGTTAGAATGTTTACAGCTCTTTTGCTTTTAGATCATCTGTTAATGTTAAATCCACAAATAACATGTTAAAGTTTCAACTGCATCTCTGAAAAAAAAAAAGAAAAGAAAAAAACGGGGAGATTGATTTTATTATAGTTATATTAATTATAACAAATAAGTTTTTGCTCAAATAACCAAAGTTAAAAATAATTTGTATATAATCTCTAAGAAGACTTAGTGTTGTTTCAAAACAAAAGGAAATATATATCGGTATCGGCACCGACTATCAGCCAAAAATGATTTGAAAATATTTGCATATCGGATATCGGCAAAAATCTAATATCGTGCATCCCTAATTAATTTGTATGTTTGATCGTTTTTTTTTTTGTCTTTTTTTATTATTTTATTATTTGTATTTGCTTGCATATTTATTTTATTTATTGTTATTATTTTTTACCTTTTTTTGCTTTGCATTATGATAACCTGCATCTCTCGCTCTCTCTCGCTCTCTCTCGCTCTCTCTCGCTCTCTCTCGCTCTCTCTCGCTCTCTCTCGCTCTCTCTCGCTCTCTCTCGCTCTCTCTCGCTCTCTCTCGCTCTCTCTCGCTCTCTCTCGCTCTCTCTCGCTCTCTCTCGCTCTCTCTCGCTCTCTCTCGCTCTCTCTCGCTCTCTCTCGCTCTCTCTCGCTCTCTCTCGCTCTCTCTCGCTCTCTCTCGCTCTCTCTCGCTCTCTCTCGCTCTCTCTCGCTCTCTCTCGCTCTCTCTCGCTCTCTCTCGCTCTCTCTCGCTCTCTCTCGCTCTCTCTCGCTCTCTCTCGCTCTCTCTCGCTCTCTCTCGCTCTCTCTCGCTCTCTCTCGCTCTCTCTCGCTCTCTCTCGCTCTCTCTCGCTCTCTCTCGCTCTCTCTCGCTCTCTCTCGCTCTCTCTCGCTCTCTCTCGCTCTCTCTCGCTCTCTCTCGCTCTCTCTCGCTCTCTCTCGCTCTCTCTCGCTCTCTCTCGCTCTCTCTCGCTCTCTCTCGCTCTCTCTCGCTCTCTCTCGCTCTCTCTCGCTCTCTCTCGCTCTCTCTCGCTCTCTCTCGCTCTCTCTCGCTCTCTCTCGCTCTCTCTCGCTCTCTCTCGCTCTCTCTCGCTCTCTCTCGCTCTCTCTCGCTCTCTCTCGCTCTCTCTCGCTCTCTCTCGCTCTCTCTCGCTCTCTCTCGCTCTCTCTCGCTCTCTCTCGCTCTCTCTCGCTCTCTCTCGCTCTCTCTCGCTCTCTCTCGCTCTCTCTCGCTCTCTCTCGCTCTCTCTCGCTCTCTCTCGCTCTCTCTCGCTCTCTCTCGCTCTCTCTCGCTCTCTCTCGCTCTCTCTCGCTCTCTCTCGCTCTCTCTCGCTCTCTCTCGCTCTCTCTCGCTCTCTCTCGCTCTCTCTCGCTCTCTCTCGCTCTCTCTCGCTCTCTCTCGCTCTCTCTCGCTCTCTCTCGCTCTCTCTCGCTCTCTCTCGCTCTCTCTCGCTCTCTCTCGCTCTCTCTCGCTCTCTCTCGCTCTCTCTCGCTCTCTCTCGCTCTCTCTCGCTCTCTCTCGCTCTCTCTCGCTCTCTCTCGCTCTCTCTCGCTCTCTCTCGCTCTCTCTCGCTCTCTCTCGCTCTCTCTCGCTCTCTCTCGCTCTCTCTCGCTCTCTCTCGCTCTCTCTCGCTCTCTCTCGCTCTCTCTCGCTCTCTCTCGCTCTCTCTCGCTCTCTCTCGCTCTCTCTCGCTCTCTCTCGCTCTCTCTCGCTCTCTCTCGCTCTCTCTCGCTCTCTCTCGCTCTCTCTCGCTCTCTCTCGCTCTCTCTCGCTCACTCGCTCTCGCTCTCTCGCTCTCTCTCTCGCTCTCTCTCTCTCGCTCGCTCGCGCTCTCTCGCGCTCTCTCTCTCTCTCTCTCTCGCTCTCCCGCTCGCTCGCTCTCTCTCTCCAGGTGTCTTGGCTGGTCATGACAACAGAGTGAGTTGTTTAGGAGTACCTGATGATGGGATGGCTGTGGCCACGGGATCATGGGACAGTTTCCTTCGGATCTGGAACTGAGAGCGGTATTAAAATCTCCTGTTTCCTTCGGTCCCTTTCTACGTCTTTCCACAGCAGCTCCTCTGTATTCCAGTTATTACACATGATGTTCAGTAAGTAGATGAATCCCGTGGAGAAGCCAATCATCATTGCCGGCCACAGGAATTATAGGAAGAGATTATTAAAGTGTCATTGTGTAATATGTAAATATTCATGTATATGAATATAGATATGGTATATATGTACAGCATTATGTGTATGTATATACCATATAGTATATACATACATAGTGTTCATGTATATATTTTTCTAGTTGATCATTGGCGCATGACATTTTTATTAATCTTTCACTTTTTTTGTAATTTTTTTTTTTTTTGTACATAGAAAGCAACGCTAAACTAGATGGAACATTGCAAACAGTCTGTATTACAAAAAGTTTGTGAAGTTTTTGTGCATTGGAAAACAAAAGCGTAAAACACATGGATTTTTTTTTTATGCAGATGAAAACCTTTTGGGTTTTTTTTACATGCCACTAAATCAATCATCATTTATTGGTGCTTGAGTGTGTTTGAAAAGAAGGCACTGAATTTTCTCGCAGCCTTGAGATCGAATGTTTAATTCGAAGCATTTTGACGCCTTGTTTCTAGGAGTTTTGCTTTTGACTGATAACAAAATTCTTAATCGATCTGCCCTTGAACTTCAACCTTAAATACTAGCGATCACAATATAACTAATCCTAGTGTATAAATTCCTATTCTTGGTGCTTACAAAGAAATCTGTGCTTCGAATGAATTCACAATGCTCGCTTTTTCGATTTTAAAATTTGAAATGGCCACAAACCCTCTTAAATTTAAATGTTGCAGTGTTACAAAGATGGAACGTCTTGAAAACAGTATAAATATTTTTATTGGTGTTAACTTAGTCTCAGCATTCAAATGAATTTTTTTTTTTGTTTTTTTGGCGACCTCTCAATTTCAGCATGTAAATGTGTGCATACAGGTGGAAATGAAGAACACTACCTGGTCAGGATAGTTAAACTGCTGACAAGTCACTATGTTAGGCTTCATTTTTCTATGGATCAGAAAACATAGACTAGAGGGATGAAGCGGTTTACTCACTTTTGCCATATTTAAGTGCCATCGGTTCTGACAGTATGCCTGTGTTTGTTGCGGTTGCCAGATTGATGCTGGTTTGAGATGCGTGTCAGTAACCAGCTTAACAAGCCTCATTAAAACGGTGATATTTGTGCCATTGTTAACGCTTTTAACACGTCGTGTAACTGTGAAAAGCATTTAAAATCTTTCTTTTACTTTACCTTTTTATATAAAAGGGAATCGGAATGCAGCTTTGAGGTATTCAAATATGTATTTTTTTTCTGTAAGAAGGCCTTTTTCAGTATGAAGATGCTTATTAGCGTAAATAAAAACCCTTTCACTTGCTGAATTTTATGATGATTAACTGTGAAAAGGGATGTCTTTGGTAATAATGTCTCATTTAGAAGTCACTTTGAATTCAATTTAAACAGGAATTATGCTGGTATTATAAGTATTGGTTAGATTTAAGTCAGATTTCTGTTGTCGGTACTGTAGAGGTTGCAAGATTGCCAATCAGTGATTCTTTTTGTGGTTGTTTTATTATGATCATGTTGAAGATTTGAGTGGTTGGTTCTGGATCAGCTGAAATCGGCAGTTTTAACATATAGCTGCCGTAAGAGTGGCTGAAATGCTGATGTAGTCTTCCAGAGCTTTAATGAAAACCATGGATGACTTTTCCAAATGCGTTTAGGTTTTTTTTCCCAATTATTTCCAAACCACTCAAACTTGGCAACAAAAGAACATTTTTAGTATTACAGTACATGTTAGAACCCCAATGTTTTAAGTATTCATAAGATACTTTTGGCTCGATTTGTAAGCTTCATAATCTTTTTTTTCCTCTTCTTTCTTTGAGCCAATAAAACCAGGAGTGTGGTACCTTGTGTACTTTCACAGTGCCATATTTTCAAATAATCATTTAATAACATTTCGTTTCTCAACTTTTTCGTATTTGTAAAGTAACCTGGTGATAATGCTGCCATACACTGATATTGTAACCAATAAAAAGACTTTTAACCACATCTTAATGTGTTCGGATTGATTTGTCTCTTAAACTTGTGTAATTATATTTGAATATGGATTTTAGGGCTGTATATCTTGGGAAAGTTATATTACATGCGTAATTACAGAGCGTCACTTATATTCGAAGATCGTCCTGTTTTTCTTTAATCTTGCTTGTAAAGAACCTGCAGCTTAATATTATGTTGCCATTATTATATGGTAATTTTAATGTCTATGTCAAAAATCACTGATATAATTGTTGCGAGAACTTACCTCAGAAATTCACGCCACTTCGTCTCAGAATCCTGGCGCGCGCTCTGGATTAAAAAACCCGCGAATGTCCGAGCGAACCACTGCTAAGTCCGCGGTTTTCCCGCGGAATTGGGCTACTTTAAAGGGGTCATATGATGCTATTTCAATTTTTCCTTTCTCTTTGGAGTGTTACAAGCTCTTGGTGCATAAAGAAGATCTGTAAAGTTGCAAAGACTAAAGTCTCAAATCCAAAGAGATATTCTTTATAAAAGTTAAGAGTTAACCACGCCTACCTAAAACGGCTCGTTCTAACACGCCCCCACATATCTACGTCACTATGTGGGAAGATTTGCATAACGCCGTCCAAATGTATGACCCCTTTAACACTGTTGCTGCAGGTTGTTTTTCTTGTCCGCGGGTTTAAGCGACCCCAATCACGTGATATTTAGCCCCTAAAATGCTAATTTTACCAGTGGATCCCTGCCAAAAACCGTGTATTTGACCCCCCAGAACGCGATTTTTACCTGGGGACCCGCCCTCGAAAGCCATTGGGCCAGTTTTGAGTAGCAATTGGGCGGGTTTTGTTATGAACACCTGGCAACCATGGAGCAAAGGTCAACTGACAAGAGTTTTGACACATGGTTTATACATACTGTAAGATTGCCCTGAATAAAATTATATTTGAAAATAAAACCAAAGACGACTTGTTTTGACAGCCGCCCTAAACGAAAAGCCTTCAAACTTGTGAAAGTGACACATTTGGATTCGGAAGGTGAGCAGTTTTTTGCAACGCTGTCAATAACCTTGATGTCCATCTGTAAAAGTTCTTTACTGGGATTAATAGTGTAATATCCAAACATAAGAAAATGTAGAGTTTCTTTAACACAGTAATACAACAATTTAGTAATGTTTTATAATATTTTTTTTATTACACAGGAGAAACTTATTTTCAGGATATTACATTTACATACGTTTAGAAATAAAATAGAATTTTAACACTGGGTTATACTGATTCAATCTGCAACCAAGGAACGTATAGAAAATAGGCTTTGTGATCAAAAGGCAAATCTACAAAATCTGAATTCCCTGTTTGATGACATGAACTGTTTCTGAATAAAAAGGCTCTGTCAAAAAGGCTGAGTATAAGTATGAAATTTTTTTTGACTCCATTAGGCTGAGCCTGAACAGCAAAACTGACTCCATTTTCAAATTCCAGCTTTTTACCCTCATGTTTTGCTTAATAGGGCAGCTTCACAGTTCACAAAATAGTGTTTTTAAGTCCCGTTCCAGTGAAACTGAATCTCTGTACAGAAAAACCTCAACCAAAACAGCACTGAAACCACCTTTACTTCAAGAATACACATTTTAGTGTTAACTACAAGTACGATTTTTTCCCCTTGCATTCCTTGCAACATCTGGTGGGTTGAGAATTCCCGAAACAGCAGGGCGTAACAGTATTCAGGAGTTACATCACTCTCTGGAAGGAGCCAGTGTATCCATGTGAACAGAATCAGGGTTGAGGACGAAGATAATGGGAGCTGAAATCCTCTAACTGCTTTTCTAGGGCCGTGGCTTTATGTCTAGGAAAGAAAATGTGTCCATTATTACAAATGCCTCAAAATGATCGATAGAAGAGATGTGGAAAATCTCACATTTTTAAAGTGCAACTCAAAGCTTGACAGAAATACAGAAGTCTCAAGATGCATTTGTTAACTGGATATGGAGTCTAAATCAATGGCTCAAACACCAATGTTGGGAAGGTTACTTTGGAAATGTAATAGGTTACCGATTACAAATTACCATATTTAAAATTTCAATTACTTTATTAATATAACTGATTACATTCGATTAGTTTTCTAAATTTGTAACAAATGTTTTCAAAAGTTAATCATTTCCAAACATGTAAAGCAGGCAGGGTTATCTTTACAGTAGAACTCAACACTGATTACTGTCAGACTTTCAGAATCCTTCTTCACTTGAATTAAGATTATCATAATTTAATTTTAAAGCACAGCCACCACAGAATCAGACTTTAGCAGCTATGTTTACTTCGAGATCATTCTGTGGTTAAATACAGATTTAAAATCATAAGATATAGATTAATAGCAATGATACTGTTTTTTAAATCAATAAAAAAAATAAAGCATATACACTGATCTAAATAAATGTTTACTATTATAGATCAGTGAGCATGCACATAAACCCAAATATAGGAAATAAAACGGTTATGGAATAAGCACGTGTCCTAAACTCCTGAAACATTGCTGTCTCATATTTTAGAGCAATCAGTGCAATTTATGAAAGAAATCAATCAAATCTGTATATGTGTGAAAATATTCAGATGTAACCCCCTTTGTATTCTTTAACATTTTCATAAGTAACTGTAATTTAATTACACATTTTTTCTCAGTAACTATAACTAATTCCAGTTACATTTATTTAGTAATTAAATAACGTAATTCCGTTACATGTAACTAGTTACTTCCCAACACTGACCTGAGCGCTTTGGATCGCTTATGCACACTTTCCAGCTTCTGGATCTTGTCAGTGAGGCGTTGGATGTCATTCTCCAGGTCCTTCTGGGTGATGTCGACTTGCTGGCAGAGTCGAGCGAATGTGCTGGCGATTTCTCTGTATCAGACACACAAGAACACTTTAACATTATTTTCTACTTGCATGCAGAGACTTGCACTTGAGCTGCAGTGTATAGAGTCAATAGCAGTGTATTCATCTCAAAACGACTGTATAGTCCACATAGAGCATAAACATATTCATATTGGTGTTTCTGCATCCAAATATGGACAACAACTTCATCATGGACCAAACCCTGATGTCAAATGGACTCTGATGTAAACACTTACTGCTGCACTTGGTGGCTGCAGTTTGAGCTGGTGAAACTGATGATCATTTGAAGTTTCTCTGTGGCGTAATCCACAAACTGTTTCTTCAGGGCTCTTTCCTTGGCTTTGGTGGTCCAGGTGAGTTTTTCATACAGGTACAGCATGCCGTACAGACTCGTGGAGAGAGCGATCAGACGCCAGCCAACTGTTCGCCACACCTAACAGAAGATATAGAGATGAACTTCAATAACAATGCATTAATTTACACTCGTGGGAAGTTAAGGTCACATTTACCGTCATTCGGGGAGTTTTGTGGGTGGATTGGAATTGGGAATTTCGCACGAGGGCAAAAGATTTCCCCACACAGGTTTCGCAAATTCACAGCTGGGTCATTCTGTGTCAAATCAACCAAATTTCAGAAACCTACCTGGCTAAAAAAATGTAATCTTTTTTTCTGAAGAAAGACATAAAAAGCCAAAATATTCAAGGCCATGGATGAATATTTACGGAGTAATCCACTATTTTGTAGAGGAGGTCAAAATGAGATTTGGAGCCAAATTACAGCAGGTGGAAAATAACTTTAGAAAGATGGCAGCATCATTATTTTGTTTTTACACAGAGATTGGTAGCTCTATTCGTAAAATCCGTTGACTTTAGCAATCTTTGTTGTATTACAGTGGTGTGAAAAAGTGTTGGCCCCCTTCCTGATTTCTTATTTTTTTGCATGTTTGTCACACTTTAATGTTTCAGATCATCAAACTCCAACACTTTTTCACACCACTGTATATGCCGATGGTGACCATTCAAAACTGGGAAAACGCACTTTTTGTTTTCTTTTCTCCAAAGTTTGCATGGCTGTAACTCAAGAAGTATTAAATATACCTTAATATCCTTTTAGATTTTGGTTCAACAAATTTTAATTTTTAAGATTCTATATGGTTCAATTGAGTTACAGGCATGCAAACTTTGGGGGAAAAATGTGAGAAGTACTTTTTCCCATTTTTGAGCTGTCACCATTGACATGTAATGCAACAAAGATTGCTACAGTCAACAGATTTTACTAATACAGCTACCAATCTCTGTGTAAAAATAACAATGATGCTGCCATCTTTCTACAGTCATTTTGCTCCAAATTTCAGGCAAAAATATTAATTTTGTCTCCCCCCTCTATTTTGGCTTTCTTCATCATTTATGTATTTCTTTCACCCATCTGCTTGGTTTGAAGCGACTTCATATATTGCTAGACTATTCGCAATAGACAATGGACAATTTTGCCCACAAAATTGTGCTAATGTGACCACACCTTCACACAAGGAATGGTCACTCACATGATTTCATAAGTATTTCTTAATTTAGGAATCAAGCTCATTGCAGCTTATTCTGGCCAGGAACCGCCCAATTAGACAGGAAGTGGACATCTGACTGTCACCTATTATAATATAATAATATAAAATAATATAATATAAATAATATAAAATAAAAGTTATTCTAAAGCATTAACGAGCAATAATTCTCACCACTCCTCCAACGATGATCATGCTCATAGACGTGCGGGAAGTGACCGAGGCCAGGTTGCTCACCATGGACATCATGAGTTCTTCCTGCGTCAGTGATTGCTGATTCTGACCTTGAGCTCTGGGGACCGGAGACTGAACCACTGCTGGGGCCGAAGGGGTGGTTGGCACCGTCAGCTGAGTAAAAAACAACAATAAACGCAATAGACCATTAAAAAAATTCCATATGAAAAATTATGCCGATATGCCTTGCCGATAAGAGGATTAACTCATATGTGCAAGCGATTAAATCATGTCAGCAGTGTGGTCATTCTTGAAGTGAACTTTTGCAGATAATGGCTTAAAATGTAAATATCGGCATCAGCCCAATATGAAAAATGATGCCGATATGCCTTGCCGATAAGAGGATTAACTCATGTTTGCAAGTGATTAAATCACGTCAGCAGTGTGGTCATTCTTGAAGTGAACTTTTGCAGATAATGGCTTAAAATGTAAATAT